TGGTGGGTTTGAACCGCCAGCCTTCTGGTTAGCAGTCAAGTGCCTTAGGCACTACACTACCAGAGCTCCTAGTGATCCTGCCTTGGAAACCCAAGGAGGGGTCTCCATGAGTCAGACCCAGTGAATTAAGTTTTTTTTTGAGTTGAGGGCGGAAATGCAAATTCTCAGCAAGGTGTCGAATCGGAATGAACTAGTTGAAAGCCCTGTTTTCAATAAATGGATGCCTACATGTAAAAGAATGAAGTTACACCCTTACCTCGTACCATATACAAAAACTCAAAATAGGTTAAAAACTCAAGAGCTAAAACAGGGGAAAAAAAAAAAACCAAACCAGACATAAATCATTTTAACCTTGGATTAGGCAATGATTTCTTAGATATGACACCAAAAGCATAAAACTTCAAAAGAAAAAAAAGATAAATTGAGCTTTATCAAAATAAAAATGCATCAAAGAAAGGGTAACGAAGTGAAGAGAATCTACAGAACAGTAGAAAATATTTGGTAAATCTGTATCTGATAGGGATTTAATATCTAGAATATCACGAACTACAAGATAACAAAAGAACAACCCAATCAAAAATGGGGCAAGGGAAATGAATAGACATTTCATCAAAGAGGATATACAAATAGCCAAAAAGCACATGAAAAGAGATGTAACATCCTTAGACATAAGGGAATTTAGAATGAAAACCCATGACAAAATAGCAGTTCACCTTCAGTAGAATGGCTATGACCAAAGAAAACAAAGTAACGTGTTGGTGAAGATGTGGAGAAACTGGAATCCCCGTCCTTTGCTGGTGGGAAAACAGTTTGGCTGTTCCTCAAAAAGTTAAAAATAGACATACCATATGACCCAGCAATCCCAATCCTAGGTAGATACCCAAAAGAAATGAAAGCAGGAATGCAAACAGAAACTTGTATACCAAAGTTTGTGGGAGGCAACAAACAACACAAGCCTGTGTTGTTCATAGGCAAAAGGTGGAAACATCTTAAATGTTGACCAACAGATGAATGGATATACAAAGTGTGGTATATACAGCCCCAAAAAACAAACCCACTACTGTTGTGTTGATTCTGACTTGGCGACCCAATGGGGGACAGTAGAACTGCAGACTGTGGTATCTTTCTCCTGCGGAGTGGTGGTGGGTTCGAACTGCCAGTCTTTCTGTGCTCAATCACTGTGCCACCGGGGTTCCTTGGTATATAATACAATGACTATTACTGAACCATGAAGAGAAATGAAGTTCTGATACATGCTGCAACATTGAAAACATGCTGAGTAAAATGTCAGTGACAAAAGGGAAATGGGGAGTCTTCTTAGAGGGCACTGAATTTCTGCTAAGGGTGGTGGACTAGTCTAGAATAGGACAATGGTGATGAATGCACATGAAAGCTGCAAGGTGTGGAGCCCTTTTGCAGTGAATGATTGGGCCTTTTGGTTTTGGTCTGAGAAGAGGGAGGACCACACCTGAGGCCAATGAGTGGGGCCTAATGACTAAGCAGTCCCCTGGGGACCCAGTTCCAAGAAAGCCTCAGGTCTGTGGTGAGGTCAACAAAAGCCTGGGAAGCCACAGCCAGCCTCAAGGGAGCTTCCAGGGCTCAAGGGACCTTTTGGCTATGTAGGAGGGGTTAAGCTCATCTTCTGGGGACTGGGAAGCCCTGTGTTGAAGAAATACCCCACCCCACCCCGAAACATTTGTCTCAGGGTGGAGAGACATCAGCTTAGGAGATGAGAGACTATAAATGCATCACAAGGACTGTTGTTATGTGCTGTCGAGTCGGACCCGACTCATAACGACCCCTCCTTCCTTGGCTGTCCGAGGTGACACCACTACGGAAGTAGACTGCCCAACCTTCCTCCCGAGGAGTGGCTGGGTGGGTTTGAACCACAAGCCTTCTGGTTAGCAGTCAGTGGTTAGGCACTATGCTACCAGAGCTCCTTCACAAGGACTAGCCACAGAAACACTGGAAACCCTGGACCTGGTAAAAAGGCAGCAGAGGTCAGGAAAAGCATTGCCACTGATTATGTAAAAGGTATATCGGAACATGTTTTGTTACATGTATTTGTATCACAATAAAACAAAAAAATTATGCAAAGTGAAAGAAGCCAGATATAAAAGGCCACCAGATGGACATTTATATCAAGTGTCCAGCATAGGCAAATATAGACAAACACAAAGTAGACTGGTAGTTGCCAGGGGCCGCAGGGAGGGAATGGGGAGTGACTGCTGACAGGGGGTTTCTACTCAGGAGGTGAAATGACAATATTGTGAATATATTAACCACTGAAAGCTATGCTTTTTAAAAGGGTGGATTTTGTGGCATATGAGTTATCTCAATTCTTTTCATGTTCTATTTTGCTTTATTTCAAAGAACACCATTGAAGAACATGAGTTTTACAGGAATCATGATGTTATATAAGGTCCATGAGCTAGGGACCAATGAATGTGTGTGGTAGCAGTAGATACTGTTGGGTGTCCCAACACCCACACTCCTGTAGGAACTGATTCTTTCCCCTCACCCCATAACCTGACCACTGAGGATCACCTGTGTATGAAGAGTGTAACCCAGCTGGTGATGGATGACAGGGAAGGGCCCAGCCCTAAGTTGGCTAATGCAGCTCAGTCGCTGGAGCACCTAGAGTTGACTGGGACAAAGATCTAGTCTCTGTTGGTAACAGGACTGCAATCTGTAAAACATGGGAGCTCTCTGGAGCTAAGTCACAGTCACTTTAGAGAGCAGTAGTAGTTTATTCATGAAATAATGTGTTCATGCAGTATGTGTACTTTGGACAAAATAGGAAAATATGAAAGTCAGTCATCTTTAATTCCCACATAGAGATGCTGTCTGGTCTCCTCTACCTGTCCACAAACTTGTTCGCAGGTAAAGATCATATGCCTGCATAATTTTACATCATTTCCATTTTCTTATATGAATGTTGCCCTTTCGTCTCAATCTTCTGTTGTTAGGCACTTAGGGAAGTGGTCAACTCTTGAAGTGTCTATTCTAGATAATAACTGCACATTAAGTAAAAATTTAAAATCTTTCTCAATTTCTAGCTATTTAATAAGGAAAATTCTAACAGATGGAATTATAAAATGAAAAAATGTGTTTTTTGATACATACACTTTTTGCTGTCAACTCAGATGATGAATAAACGAAACTTCATGTAATGGTTTTATTTCCCTTACACATATATATTCAGCAAGAAAAAAAATTTCATTACAGAAGCAGCAGCAACTTTAATTACATGCAAAAGTTGAATCTACCCCCAAATGACTTCTTGTTTTGGTATCAGCAAATAATTTAAATGTAGTTAGTAAATTTCAAATATACCAAGTATTTAAATTCATTAGCTAAAATTATGGCTTGTTTAAACAGTTGGTATATGAACCAAACAACAAGGCAAAGTGAAAATTTGAATTAAAAAAAATTATATAAACATTATCAGAAAGGACTTCGTATAACCTTGCCAAATTTTTCTGTGAGGCTACCTATTTCTATTAGTTGAAGAACAAAACAAATGTATTTTATAGAAGAAAAGATTCATTCACAGCCTAAACCACAGTTAATTAATTTTTTGGGGCCCTGTTTTCAACAGCATGAGATGAACCTAGCAGCACAGTGTTTTATTTAGGATTATTTGAAAAGATCACAACTGTGTGCAATGGTAAATCATTTTTATTGACTGAACATTCAAACCAAACAAGTTATGCTGGTTCTTCTCCCTAAATGGACTAGGACAGGAGAAGAGAGTTCTACTAGGCTTTTTGCTGGGTTGTATGTACTCACATGGGGAACACTGTTTTCTAGCTTAAGATTCAGGAAAAGGTGGTTTGGAAACAGACTTAAATAAAAGTAGCACCAGAAGGACCAGGTACCAACAATCACATATTCCACCCACTCAGGGATTTTATGTGAAATTATTGCACTTGTAATGTAAAAAGGAAAATGGTAGTAAATTACCAAATGCAATTTGAAGTACAGTTTGATGAATTCTGAACTAAGGATTTCAAAATGGTTTTGAGTTTCCCTTCAAAAGAAGCCTGGCTCAAAAACGACATCGAGGCATTTACTTTAAAAAGCAAGGACAGAACCACGTTCTATTTCTAAATTGTAATTGCACTATGAGAAAAGAGGCTGTTTTACACAGTGGTACGAATTTGGTCCACATCAAATACATCGTTATTATAAAAATAAGCTTGTTTTTGTAAAAAATAACATTGCATTCTTTTGTTCAAATTGCACAGTACAAACACGCTATCTAAATTAATACTGTTGTAATTAGAATTACAGTGAATATGTAAGTTCAGTCTGAAGCAATTAAGGAATATGCAGTTATGTTTCCATAATGTATGAAAACTAAAATATAAGCCATATCTAGAAATACATAAAATAGCTTAAAAGTTACAATGAAGAACACTGTTTACATACTAATTTTCAATAGCTGTGATAATAGAGGATTCAGCAGTCTATTTACATAAAAGCCCATTTTAGTCCATTTACAAAAGCAATAAATAAGAAACTACATTAATTTGCACAAAACCGGTTTCATTTCATGATCAGTATGACCATTTCTATTACTTTACAGCCAAGCCAATAAACTGTCCTCCTTTATGAAGACCATTCATACGCGGAAAGAAGAGCAAGCCCTACATTTATTCCAACAGTGAGTAACTGTAGCCATGCAGAATCCAGCGTAACATTTTAAAATTATATTACAAGCCCTACAAACATGAACAGAGCCTCTGAGTGTATTTACACAAGAGTATTCACATAAAGATATACTTCTTTGATACAAAATTGTCTAGTGGTATCTAATAGTGTAATTGGTGAGAACCCCCTCAGAGACCTCTGCCCACACTGATCCAGCAGTAGCCAAGCTTGCCCAGACAGACACATGATCTCCTGGGTCAGGGGTTTCCATCAGTCCAAGACTGGGGTTTAACAGGCCAGAGGCCAAGGTCTCCACCATGCTGGCTGGCACACAGCACACCCAGGCAGGCCTCTGGCAAGGGGGACCCATTGGGAAGTCCAGTGGTGTCCAAGGGAGCAGACAGGTAGCTCACATCCCTGAGGAGCTACAGCGAGCACCTTAGCATTTATTTAAAAAAAGCAATCTGGGCATACCAGAAGTCAGGCAAGGCTGAAGGAGGTTTATAAAGTAAGTTCATCTGAGGCCACATGATCCCAATGGTTTCAGGGCTACCAACCTTTGAGAATAAAACCAAAATATTCTCATGTACATCTCTAAATATTACCACTTTCCACTGCATCTTAAAAAATCTTTTGTATGAAAGCTGATTTATTTGATATCACATTTTTATGGAGTCAAATGGGTTTCTTGGAGAGAGTTAAAATCTAGGAATCTCTAAGCAGTGTCTGAGCAGAGTTCTCTCCCCTGTAAACCACCACTAGGTCAGTGTCTGGAGTGTCTGCTGCTACTCAACACTGCCCATAGAGAGGGTGCCCCCTGCTGTCAGGACACAGAACAGTCGAAAGTCCCATCTGGGAAAGTCTCCTCCTCTTCCGCTCTGGTGGTGGCCTCCTCCTTTCGGCTGCCCACGGTGCTGCCCCCGGCCTCCCCTGGGGGCATGATGCTGTGGCCTGCAGGACCTCTACTCTCCTCTGCCCTTGGGCTTGTCTGTTCTAGGTTCTTACCCACCAAGACTGGCTGGAAAGCTTCGGGCTGGACCTGATCTTCTGTCATCTCACTGAGCTTCTGCAGTTGTGGCTTAATGATGTTTAAAAATGGCTTATATCCAGGGCTAGGCAGAAGAAAAAAGAAATAAGCTCTCTGCCAGGATCTAAAAGACTCCAGAGAGTGTGGTGATACACTCCTAAACACGGGTCCCCTGAGGTCAGTGCTAGAACTGGGGGAGGGGAGGCCTCTTGGTGGCTGGGCAACGCAGCGCTGCACAGAGCACAGCTTGATTTCTGAGTACACTGGCACACAGATGGACATTCTTCTGATTCGTCTGTTTTACAATTAACTTTTCTATCCTAAAATCAAAGGAACAATAGTATTTTAAAACTAAAAGAGACCTTCAGAGGACATCTAACCTCAATTCATTGAAGTAAATGGCTTCAAGACCTTAGAGATAGAGCTAGAATCCAAGCCATTTAACCCTATCTATGATTTTTTACTTAGAACTTGGTGGTAATTGCCACAGAATGTTAAATTCACACAAGCCTTACATTTTTCTCCCTATTTTCAAGCAGGCATGTTTAGGTTATGACCTTCACTGCCCCTGAACTACAAATCTCAAGCTGCAGTCTAACACTGAGCAGCTCCATGGAGATGTGCTCCAGCTCTGACTGGGTCAGGCTGAGTGTGGAGAAATTCTCATCCACCACCGTCCAGTCCCCATCCACCATGGAGCTGCTCTCAGTCAAGTCTGTGGCTGAACCAATACTGCATTCATCACCTGAGGAGGAATTGCCAAAAGCTATAAACCAGCTCCATGTAGAGAATATGCTTTCTTTTATTTAAAAAAAAAAAAACAACAACACTGAGATCACGTGTCCTCCATCAATCTGAAGTCAGTAGCGTAAGTTCATTCACAGGGAAATTAGAAAGCAGTAGTACAGGTATACTCAAGATGGATATTACCCTTCTAAATTGACATACAGGGGTTACTAAAGAGAATGGGTTTGGAAATGAATGTATGGAACCATTTTTACTTCTGCCAACATAAAAACCTGCAATTTATGAAGCCTAACTAAGCCTCATGTGAAAGGACAGGACTCTGCTGCACAGGACAGCCAGGAAGCATGTGGCAGGAAGCAGCACTTACCAGTCTGTGGAGGCCCATCTGTCCACAGCACGCAGCCCCATCTTTATGTTCTGTAACATCTCTCCATCCACCTCTGACGACTGAATAATAACCAAAGTCTGGTTGATGATTGAGGATTCTCTGAGAATCAGGCCGATGACAATGCACCAGTCCAGACACCCAGCCTCCATGAAAATGTGCAGCAGATACCTACCGAAGAGCAGAAACAAAAGGATCTACCCTCAGAAGGATCTAGAAGTCTACAGAGGAAGGGCACTGCTTATCAGCAAAGGGGCCCCAGGGCTCTCTGCATGAATCCTGGCAGCTGAGAAACTCACCGAAGCTGGACCTGAGACTTATGAGGCCCTTTACTCGCCAGCTCCATGGAGATGTGCTCCAGCTCTGACTGGGTCAGGCTGAGTGTGGAGAAATTCTCATCCACCATTGTCCAGTCCCCATCCACCATGGAGCTGCTCTCTGTCAAGTCTGTGGCTGAACCAATACTGCATTCATCACCTGAGGAGGAATCACCAAAAGCTATAAACAAGCTCCATGTAGAGAATATGCTTTCTTTATTAAAAAAAAAAAAAAAAAAAAAAATCACTAGAGTGCTAACCAGACATGATCTACAGGATGTGCCTTCTGATGGATGGCAAAGGCTCTGCGCAGGTATTGCCTCTGCACCTTTTCTGCCATGGCCAACCCCAATCACATGGTTTTTTGAGAATAAGCATCAGCATGCTATTTTTGAATGACTACTGTCTCTAGCTAAGTCAAGGGCCAATAGTTTCTCTTTGCTTTTGAATGTTTTCTTTTCCCACAGCATGGACATATGAAATCAAATATCTTACAAAGAAACACCACAGGAAGAAGGCAGCCAATGGAAAGGAGGGTGCTCCCACACAGTGGTCAGGGTATCACTCCTACGTGAAAGAAGTATGTCAATCGTCAGGCAAGGCCAACATGCCCTTGTTCTAGTAACTGTCTGCCTCTCTAGCACAGTGATGGGTAATCCTTAAGAACACACCTTGAAAGAAAAGAATGAAGTCCTGTCTCAGAAGTGCTACTGCATGCACATAAACTTTCTTCCAAAGGCTAAAGAAAAGCTAAGGCTGCAAATGGCATTTACCTTTATTGAACAGAGGTGACAGGAAGGCGTCTTGTGTTTGTGCTCCATAGGATGAGGCCGAGTCTATCTCATGATGACTGGGGCCGAGGTTGCCAAGCCAGCTCTGACTTCGTTGGACATTAGAGATGGCAGTATCCATCTCAAGGTTTAAAAAAGGACCAGCTGATTGAGACTTTAATAGCTGCTCTCCTACTGTAGGGGAGGTCCAAAACCAAATGACAAAGTCAAAAATGAGGAGAGAAAATTCAAAATGCCATTTCCAATTCAATTCTTTCAGCGTCTCACCACACAAGGCTGACAGTTCAAAGCTGCATTAAAGTATGCATCCATAAAGTAGGGAGAAGAGATAGCAACAAAACCTTCTGACCAGATACTAAGTTGTTGTTGTTGTTATGTACCGTTGAGTCACACCTGACTTCATAGTGACCCCTCCTTGGGTTTCCGAGGCAGTATCACTACGGAAGTAGATTGCCCCATCTTCCTTCCGAGGAGTGGCTGGTGGGTTTGAACCACCAGCCTTCTGGTTAGCAGTCAAGTGCCTTAGCCACTATGCTACCATAACTCCCAGTCATCTATCGTATCTTACTAAAACTAGGCAAAACCTGTTGATCTTCTAAGTATTTACCTTGGTTTTTAAGATGACAGGAGGTTTTCAAGTGCCATACTAAAAGGTTTTTGTTTACATTTTCATAAATAGTATTAATTAGAGCAATCTTCTGAAAACAACCTGAACTATAAAACATTCTTTTCTCTTTCAAAAGAATATGTAGTTTCACTTTGTCCTCTGCCAATCTCATAAAGATGCATTGTTACTGTTAACTTGGGATGATTCCTGCCAGGTAAGTAAGTCACAATTTAACTGATTTTGAGGCCTATGGCTAACTAACTGGTTCCAAGATTCAGTAATCTAAGGGTAGCAGCTTTTATATTCAGCCAGTTCACAACTAGGTGATAATCTGAGAAAAGGGGCTGGATTTATGAGTTAGACTTTGCAATTATAAGATTTAGAGACATAGGTTCTACTCTATGTTACATCTTTGGTCAAATGGTGAACGTGAAACTGATGTATTAAAAATTGGTATCGGTTCACTCCCATGTTTGGAATGAAAAGACTTCCTAGAATATCAACTAATAGCAAAATGTCTAAATACTTGGAGTAAAATACAATTCTCCTTTTACCACTGACATGACTTCTGTATTACCTGTTCGGTACTTTCCATTCTTGAAGGGAGAACTGAGAGAAGGGGCTGGGATGATGGGCAGTGGCCACAGGAAATCTTTGTGGAGTCTCTTCAGGGCTATCACAAAGTTGTCTACCCGGGCGGCCCGGGTCCGTTCCTTGCATAGCCAACTAATCAGTTCAAAGCCCAGCTGGGCGGCAAAGCAGCCGAGGTCCTTGAGCCGCACTTCTTCCAGGAGGCGCCGAGCATGTCTCCAGAGCATCATGTCAATGTACATGTTCTCGGCAGAATCACTATCTCTGCTCCATCTAGAGGGGAGCACAGAAAGCTGCAGGACTCTCTCCTGAAGGACTTCACATGTTGTATACTATAGCATTGACAGAGCTGACAAGGAGGCAAAAGATCAAGACCTAATTCTGATTCAAGAGGATAAAAACCAGGCATAACCCTGTGTAAACTGCACCCTGATGAACACCACCTGGAGCACAGAGCCTCGCTAAGCCAATCTGTAGAATGAGTGTCTGGCAAACAATGTCAGACCCAGGGAGAGGGTGGTGACTGGCTGAAGGAAAGAAAAGGAGCAAATAACTTGTATTTGAAAAGAGGGAAGGAAATCAGATCCAAGAAACTAAAGGCAGAGAAGCAAAGTGAAATGGAACCTCGATGTGAATTACGTAGATCCATTACAATAAAACAGCCTTTGAAATCAGTATCTTGACTAACTGCAGTCTATCGTCCTTTCCTCAGACAAGTTGAGATGTAAGCGCACACTGCATACCTCTGGATGAGGGGCAGGAGAGGGCAGTGACCAGAACTTGTTCTGGAGCAGGACTGCCTGTCTCTGTACATGTCTCTTTACCTGCTTGCTGTACGTAACAACAGCATATACCCTCAGACAGAGGTGATAAAGATGAAATGAGCTAATACATGTAAATGGTTAGAGCAATGCTGGTACATGAGAGCTCAGTAAGTAGTTACCAAGGTTTTAGCTCAGGGTGTGGTGGAGGGGCTACTGTTCTTCTGTTTATCGGCAATTGTGCCTAGCCGATTACAAGCCATATAAAAGCATCTTACTTGTATATGGTTTATGATTTTGTGTGTGTATGTATGTGTTTTGGGTGAGCAGTGGTGGCAGAGGTGGTAGGAGAGGAGGGTCAATGGCCAGTAAGAGAGAAAGCAGTGACACATCAAATTAAAAAGTGTTGAACAAGCTCTGTATTCCAGGAACTGCAGTGAGAGCACAAACAAAACGGTAAAAAAGGACAAGGACCTGTAACAATGCAGGCAAGAATACAAGGACCTCATAAGCCAGAGGAAATTCTCACCAACGTTATCATGTTCAGCTTGAGTTAGGCCGCCCCGCAGGGGACAGAAAGGAGCTCTGGTGGTACATGCAAAGCATTTGACTACAAACCAAAGAAGGCTGATGGTTCAAACCCACCAGCCACTCCGCAGAAGGAAGATGGGAAAATCTACTTCCATTAAGATGTATTGCCTCAGAAACCCAATGGGGGTCACCATGAGTCAGAATCAACTTGATGGCAAAGAGGTTTTTTTTTCCAGGGGATAGAACCCACCTATGTGGCTGGAGGTTTTGGTTTCCAGGATAAGCTTCCTTTTGGCTCTCCCCATGTTTAATGACTCCTCCCATCAAAGGAGGCACAGGATTCCCAAATGCATATGCACAAAAGTTGTTTTTTGTCATAAGGCATATTTGGACAGAAGAGTAAAACTACTGTACCCTGAAGAAGGCTTTTGGATTAACTGCAGGTTTATAATCTTCCTTTTTATTCTAATCCTACTTTCAGAAGTAATTTAAAATTAGTAGCTTTTAGAACAAATACACCAAGCCATATTCTACTGCCCATGGCAAAACCTATATAAAGAAGACAGACGTGAACTTTGGAAGAGGGAAACAGGGAAACTTTCTGTGTGGTTTCTATGCCTTTTGGGAATGAAAAAAGGAACTGCCAATTGGATCATTGTTTCCATAACAGCTAGCTTTACAATGCCATGAAATGCAGTGTGTCTTAGAATGCTCAAACAGCAGCAATGGAGCTATTCTTTTACCTTTTAACAGAAGGACCAGTCGGCATACTGAGTGTTTTCTGTAAGCTGAATTTACTTGCAGGCACATTTTCTGCTGACTGGGATAAACTGATGCTTCGATTCCTGAAGAACTCAAATCCACCAGTTGAACTGGGTTCCTGTGATCACAAACAACATGCAGTACAGTTAGAGATGCCATGGAAGTGCATGGCCCAGAGATGCTGTACAGTTTGTGCAACCAACCTGAGCTGTGGGTGTGGATGGAGGAGTCTCCGATTCTCCAGAGCCAATGGCTTTAAGAAACCGAATCATGTGTCGGCAGAGGCCCCATTTGCCTTGTTCCAGCGCTGTGTTGAACAGCAGTGTGGCATGCTGCCTACTTACGGCTGGGACTTCCATATTCTACAAAAACAACCAAAGACAACAGCATTCCTTTTAGACTGCTCATGACTAGGAACAAAATGAGCAATTCTACAGTCAACTAAAGTAGGAACCAGCAGCTACAACACTGCAGGAGTTAGTAAGACCAGCAGTGAGATTAAAAGGAGCATTAAAAAGCTACCTTGCATGGTGAAATGAGGCAAGCGCTCTGCTAGTGTAATGGAGACTGTGAGTGATGGAACTCCCACTACATACCAGATATCATGTTATGTACCTTACATTATTTCATGTAATTCTCACAACGACTGCAAGATAGGAATGTTATCCAGATGATGAAACTGAGGTTAAGTAAATTGTTGAAGATTAGCAGAAAAGCATGAGTATAAATCTAGGTCTGTCTGATTTATTAAAAAAAAGCTGAAGTTCTGTCTCTTGGAGGAGAGGTTCCTGAGGATGCAACCAAAAGATCCTTGCTTTTTGCACTGAGGAAAAGAACTGCTGCTACGTGTCCAGCATCCTCCATAACTCTCTCCTAAGTCTAGTCTTACTGTCTGTGCTGGGCTTCATGGGAGGTGCCACACAGGCACATTTAATCATATCTACTATCTGATTGACAGTACACAGCAATTTAGGAAATATGCTAGAGAAAAAGCCTCCGTTGGTAAAGAGATCCCTGAAAGTCAAGGTAGGAACCTAAAATACAACAGCTGAATTTATTGAGATCTATTTCTATATTCTTGTGGCTTTTCTTTAAGGCTAAATCATCAGAATCTTCATGCTATCCAGCCTCTGGCTGAATATCTCTGCTGGGTTTCAGTCAGTTCCCATGAAAAAAAAAAGCCGATAGGAAATTTGCTTCAGGCAGTTTTTAAACTGTGTGGTCAATCACGTTTATGAACGGCTTCTTATATCAAAGTAAACAATTTTGCAGTAATTAGAAAGAACCATTAAGTGTAGCTTATCAAATCCTTATCAGATTGACAGAAACAACAAATGATCAAGCCCTTCTGTCAAATATACAATGAAATTATCACGAGTCTCAAAGAACCATGATTTTGAGGGAAGCTATGTGCTCATGAGGGTCACCCCCATGGCAGACTTGAGTCTTTTCCTCTTGCTCTGAGGAGCCTGAGAAGGTGCTCTGTTGTGACACCTGCTCTCCCTAGAGCCTCACAGCAATTCCACACCACACCAAAACATCTAGTGCTGGGGAGTGTGTGTTGGGGGGAGCTCAGACAAACCTGCTAATAGGCAAAGCAATGCTTTTCTTCCCACTCTGGCTCATTCATCTGTTTTAGGCCCATCAAGGGCAAAGAAGGTCAAAACCCCCAGCAATATTACTTTATGACATTCAAAGAAACCTTCCACCAACACTGGACAAGCCTGGGAAAGCAGGCCATACCCACTGACAGAAAATCTGACTATATTTGCTTCTTATACCCAATCACAGTGCCAACACAGGACACTTCTTTTTCTAAGTTTTAAGCTCATTAGTTCTTGCTCTTCTCTAAGACAGTTGCTACCTGTAAGATAATAAGATAAGAAGCAGCTGTGTCCAAATCCTGAGCCATCAGACATTCCTCAAACAAATCCTTAGGGTTTCCTACAGCTGCAAAAAGGTAGTTCCACAGGGCATACTCGGTCTTCCTGGCACAGTGGACGACTGTCTGCAGGAAGAGGGGGAATTCGGTGATGAACTTAGCCACTGTGGGAAGCAGAGGGTCGGGAATGGGCTCCCGTGAGGTAGCTTCTTCCTCCAGCACTTCGTGCAGCATGAGCTCTAGCACGTGCGGGAAGTAAGGGAGCGTAGCGCAGGACTGGGCCAGCAGCAGGGCCTGCTCTCCGAGGTTCCGGACCAGGAGCTGGCGCAGAATGTGGTGGAGGTAGATCTGCGAGGTTCTCTCCACGACACAAAAGGGGAAGAGCCCCTCTAGCTGCTCCCGAGCACTGCTTCGAGCACACAGAGAGTCGTAGAGCAAAGTGTCATTGACGGCACCCAGGACCAATGCATCTTCAAACAGAACAGCCAGGGGGTAAATGTTGATGTGGAAAGGCAGCATGATCCGCTGGGACAAGAAGGAATGAGGCTTGCGGTGATCCCGAGGGAAGAGTGGAAGCCAGACCTTCATGCCTGAGCCACCGCAGCTCAGCCACAGGGCCTCCAGCAGGTGGCGCTTTTGCTTGTTTGCTCGACATGTAGTCCAGACATTCTCCACAGACTGGGCCAGGACAACAGGAGGGCAGAAGGGCAGCTGGGGACGCAGAGACAAGAACCAGGTCATTGAGTCTTTCAGAATGTGAGCACAGCAGTTTTTCAGTAAAAGCAAGGGGATCTATGTAGAATTAGAGGCAGTAACAGGACCCTGTTTTTCAAAGTACATAAATTTAAATCTTAAAAACAAACAATCCATCCCACCAATCTAGCTTTATTTTCCATTAGAATTGACAAATACTGATGCTGAAGCAGTTCTATCTGGAGTAGGAACATATTATTACCATTTTTAGGTCTTTACTCTTCACCCTTTAACTGAGTCAGTCTAATTTCCAGAGGCTTAAGACTAATTTTATGTATGTTCGTAGTCTGAATCACAAAACAACACTCTCTTGTTAAGTTCTTTTACTGCTTCATCCCAACACCCTGCTTTCCCAGCACTGTGAATGATCTACACTGACTCACCAGTTTCCTCTGGCTGGGGTTGCTCTCCTTCTCTCGGATCTGGGGGCCAGACCTGTCCCTCTGCATCATGATGAGCTGCCCTGCAAGATTGAGCATAATGCTCTCTGCATCACGAGCCTGAAAACAGAAGAAATTCCATTTAGCCTTGTTTATAGGTACCTTGCTAGTATTCACCTCTTAGTCCATGAGGTTTATGGACTGTTACTGATCACAGTTATTGAGGGTGTACTGGTATAGGCATTCTACGAAGGTCTGTGGGAATACAAGGAGCTTTCTGACGAGGGTGGAACAATGCAATTAAAAATAAGGCACGCAAATATAAAATTAAGGGCAGAATTGAATTACGCTGGAAAATCATGAGGACTTCAGAAGTTCATAAAAATAAGAGAGCACTAAAAGCTGGCACAGCTAGGGAAGGCCTAAAAGATGAGCTAGGCTGTGCAGGATAAGGAAGCCAGAGATGGGTGGAAGGGAAAGGGCTGGTGGCTCAGGTGCAGAAAGCAGGTGCAGGAAGACATGGGGATGGGATAGAATAGTTCTACTGGGACAGTGACACTAATCTGGTTAGTCTAGGCATGGTATGAGAACAGTTAGGTTTTCTGTCAGGTATTTGTCAGGATCAGATATTCAAGAAGGGCCTGTAAAGCAAGGGAAGAGAACAGTAGGCAGTAAGCCACTACTTTTGGTTCCTGAATAAGGGAGTTATTTAAAAAATCCAAGTTATTCAGGATGGATTACCGGGGAGAGGCAACCTCCTGGCTATTTTAAGTAATACTTCAGAAATGAAAGAAACTGTCTTTTTTATTATGGAAATTTTTAATCAAGTAACAAAATAGAGAAGGCTAATATAATTTCCGGGAGCTCTGGTAGCATAGTGGCTAAAGCACTTGACTGCTAACCAGAAAGCTGGTGGTTCAAACCCACCAGCCAATCCTCGGAAGGAAGGTTGGGCAATCCTACTTCCGTAGTGATACTGCCTCGGAAACCCAAGGAGGGGTCGCTATGAGTCGGGGC